CGATGTACGTCTTTTTTTTTTTTTTTTGTAGACTCTTACCATGATTCGAACTAAAAAGAACAAAACATTTTAAATTCTTCAAAACAGCTCAGAATTTGTAATAAATGATAAATTTGTTTTTTTGAAAAAAATAAACAAAACAGAATCTGAATTGTATGTCTCTTTAACAGAAAAATCTGAATTTGAAGTATAGAGATTCTATGTGTTGTTGTTTGCTTTGTATTATTCCACAATCTAACGTGATAAAATTACTAAAAGAAATCTGTTTGATATATATCAATTAAATTTTTATAATGTAGGTGCTGTAACCAAAATATTAACTCTATATCGATTTCGATATTTGGATATTACGAGGATGTGATTAGAAAACAAATATCAAGAGAAGTTCTCTTAGAGAACTAACAATATATATATATAGGAAAATTAAAACAAACAAAACTTTCATAATATATTAACTTGTCAGAAAACAAATCTTGCAAGAAATGAATATTTGGAGAAAACAAATTAACAAAACTATTCGTCCCCAATATTTATTCAACAATATACATCGTTATGGGGAGTTTCATACTTTAGAAAAAGAATAAATATATCAACAAAATACAAACACAACCATCTGTTAAAACAAAATTCAATCCAGACTATAATCACAAGCAAACTAAATTACCAAGGATGAAATTGAAAATAAGAGTTTTGACGTGGAAATTATGGAATAATAATCTGATTTTCAATGGAGAAAAGGCTCGAAAGTGCTCACCACCTTCTTCAATTGGTCAAGAAACGAGAGATACGACACCGTTCCATCGTTTCCAGCAAGAACCCTATACTTATCTTTCCTCGTGAAGTTAGTACACTCAAACCCTAACGTAGCCGCCAAGATTCTCTGAACATAATTCGCCACGTCATGCGGACTCTTCCCGGACGAACAGGTTGCCTCCATCGGAAGCTGGTTCAAGAATGTAACCTCGTAAACCGGTCTCGGGTTCATGAAAAAGAAAATCGGGTCTAAACCTTTCCAGCCTCTCGCTGTGGTCGCGTGGAAGAATCCGACTCTATAATTCATCGCAACCGGAACAATCCTATCCGTTAACTCTGCGAAAAGTGCGCTAAATCTTAGCAGAAATGGTTCGCGACAAGTGGTTCCTTCAGGACAAACCACTAGATCGCCTTTAGACAGTTGTTGTTTGATCTTTGCAGCGTCTACATCTCGGATTCTTGTCAATCGGACGGTTGGAATGGGAGATAAGATCTCCGATAACCGCGAGATTGAATAAGTAACGGCCGGTATGCTGCGTCCAAGCACGTAAGATAGTACCACCGGGTCCATTAGCGTTCTATGAGTGCATACGAAGAGAACGCCGGAGTTTCCGGCCGCCGGTGGCGGAGGAGGCGTGCCTTTAACGATTATCTGGCCGCCGAATATCTTAGAGACGTAAGGTGTGGCCGATAAAGGGAAGACGGATCCAAGAAAGATCCGAATCGCAGCGAGGATGATTCCAAATGGGATCCAAAGGAGGATGATGAAAGCCATAACCGGAGTTGGCCGCTTAACGAGACGCCCGTCGTGAAAGATCACCGGAAGTGGCCTTAGCTCAACTTGTTGGTTATAGCCATGGTTGTAGTCCTCCGGAATTGGTGCATGAATTTGCTCCTATGTATAAAAGATAGATTTTTTAGAATGATAAATTTTGCTGATAATTATTTGTTACAATTGTTATCGAAACTTGCATTTTGCTAATACTGTTTGAGTTTTATTTATTTATATCAAAGTTAGTAATTTATGTATATAAGTGATATATAAAACTAATTGTGTACATGCAATGATGCAATTTAAAGTGTTTACCTCACATAACGATAAGAAAGTCGTAGAAGCGGTCACTGCCGGCCTCCCAAGACCTAGATGAGGCCTATGACCAACAAACAAATTAGCGACATGGCTTTGAATAGATTGATCGATATCGGTTTCGCGTATCAAACCGGTGACAAAACCAAACCGGTTAACGATCAGCTCCGTACCGATGATCTCATCGGCTATAAGATGCTCTTTAGCGAACCTCTCCACCATAACTCGAGGCATTCTCGTCACCAGGACCTTTTTCTTGCACGAGCTGAAAACCCTCCACGTGTCCATACTTAAGTCATCCATGTAAAACTTTGGCAGGACTGCTCTAGCCACCGATTCAATCTCCGGTTCACGTAAACCAACCGTGGCTACAAAGACCATGAGCTTGAGAGCGGCGTTTTTGTAGCTGAAAACGTCAAGGAGTGTGATTACGGGCCAGAGAAATAATAAGATTGCGAAACGAATGAGACCAGATGCTTCGAAGGCAACGAGCATGAAGTAAGAGAATGGATCCGTGTTCTTCAGTAGCCCTTCAAATTCTGACACGACCGAATCCGACGTCGTTATAGCGTCCTCCATCACCAATTTCTTTTCTTTTTTGGTTTTTTGATCGAATATTATTTTTCACTTGATTGAAGATGGAAGAAAAATGAATGATAACGTTATATGTTATAAGGTTTGGATTGACTAGTCTCTAATGCAATGAGCATGGCAGTTTATCAATATTGCACCTACCGTAATTGTATATACATGTTCTTTTATGTTGAAAAAGTGTTCATAAGTCAATATTATTTATATAGAGATTTGAAGAAAATACGATTATACTTTTACACGTTACGTGGTTTTTTTTCTTCCTGATGAAATAGTGCACGTCATGTGTCTACGAATTTTATCCGAATTTTTGGCGGGATGCACCAAAATTAGGCCATGGTTTTTGTTTTCAACTGAATAAACGGGTTTAATTAGGTCACTAACCTTATAATATATAGTTTTTTTTTCTAACATCTTATTACATCGTATAGAGTTGAATTTATAACGGTTTAGTTTAATTATCATCGGTATATGGTTTTTAAACGGTTTGGTTTTGGTTTTATCTGATTTAATTCGGTTTGACAGAAGCTTACCATAGCGCAATCAAATTAACTTCAGTTCCATCAGGAAATGCTATGTAATTGCGTGAACAT